ATATATATACATAGGTGCATACACATACATGTATATTTTATTGAATAAAAAATTCCAAGTGGATAGAATCCAGGTAGAACTCAATGTCCAGGACAGAGTAAGGATATAATAAAAAGGCTTAAACACTAATATTCCATGGTCATAATTTATTCCATTGGAATCGTAAATACAATCTAATTCATCAGACCTACAAATTCGAAAAGAAAACAGAAAAAAACAACTCCGGAAATAAAAAATAAAATTTAGTCAGAGTGTATGTATGAGAGTGTGGGACGAACGTTAGAGCTATAGAGAGGGGTAACAGACGAGAGAAGGTGGGGGATTAAAATTTAACAGAGAGAAGTTTTAAAGAGGGGAGTCAAAGACGGTTTAAGTGAGAGAAATATGAATGTTGTCGGATATCTAATACATTAAAGATACATTTGGTAGTGACATATATACATAATTTGAAGAAAGAGTCTACGTGTGCTTCATAAAACAATTTGTTTTATATATCTTTCTTCTGATAATATATATATATATATATATATATATATATATACAGAGAGAGAGAGAGAGATTCAATAAAAATACGGTTAAATTAAGCTACAGTTGCACTAGTAATTTAGATACAATAATAAATAGACAAAATACCAGAAATTTCAAAACTAACGTGCAGCAAAATAACACTAATTATTTATGCAACTGCAGAAATAAGAATAGATGTCCATTAAATGGAGCTTGTAAAATAGAAGCCATAATTTTGAAAGCAGAAGTAACTGATATTAATGGTCAAAATAAAACGTATATAGGTTGTACAGAAGGTTCTTTTAAGCGTAGAGGGTACAATCATAGATCTTCTTTTAAGCTAGCGAATCTTAGATAACTCCACCAAACTTGCTAGCCTTATTGGGGAATCTAAAAGAAGTAAACAACAGGGACCCGTTCGTAAGGTAGGTAATTTTTAAAAATGTAAAACCATATAGCAATCATACCCGCATTTGCTACCTTTGTAAACATGAGAAATTAGCAATTATGATATTTCCAGATCCCCCAAAAACAACTTTTAAACCAGAGATCTGAAAACTTAAGTCCTTGCCTTCATATCAAAAAAAATTTATTATGTGAATATGAGGCTGGATAAAAAATGTAATTTAAAACCCCAGTTATTTATATAATAAGTTTGCTTCCCCCGACACTTCCCTTTATTTACAAGGCACCCTTCCTTAAATTTATGTTACACTTGCTTTTCTTTTCAAGTTATTTTCTTTATAGATTTACCATACACTTGCTTTCTTCTTTTCTCTTGTTCTTTTCATCCTTCTTCTTTTCTTTCTTCTTCTTACCCCCTCCTTGTTTTTCTTTTCTACTTCTTTTTTCTTCTTACCCCCTCCTTGCTTTGCTTTGCTACTTCCTTTTTCTCCTTACCCCCTCTTTGCTTTGCTTTGTTACTTCTTTTCTTTATACATTTAAGATACACTTGCTTTCTTCTTTTCTCTTGTTCTCTTCATCCTTCTTCTTTTCTTTCTTCTTTCTTCTCCTTGCCCCCCTCCTTTCTGTTACATTCAACGTTGTGCGTTTGACCATCACGCGATTGTTTTTTTTTATTTATTTTTGAAAAATAATAATGCTGCGTTCTTTTTTCTTTTCTTTTAAAAATAAAGCTTTGGATGGTCAGTTGATAGAATTAGCCTGATGATACCGTGTGGTCGAAACCAAGGTCGCGTATTCTGTCCGATATCCTAATTTTTAAAGTTTAAAGCTCTACAAGTTATTTTATTTTGTCACACGTGCATTGAGCACCTTTTATACTACTGTTTCCTGGTCTGATTCAACTGACCATTGACCATTAATATATATATATATATATATATATATATATATATATATATATATATATAAATGAATGAATATATATATATATATATATATATATATATATATATAAAGTGAATGAATAAATAAGTTTAAAAAAATTATTTTACAACTAAAAGTTTCACAGATCCGCATATCAGGGGTACGATAAATCGCTTGAATTTATATATATATATATATATATATAGATAGATATAGATATATTGAACAATAAAAAATATTAAAAAATTAAAATCTTCAGACACACTGGGTTGCAGATTAATATTCTTTCGTTTTTTTTATTATTATTTCATTTAGATTCCTCGACTAGTTTCGGCCAAAATGGCCTTCATCGGGGAGAAGAAATATTTCTGCTTGCTGGTAGCAGTAAACTACAGAAATGAATGTCTATATATATATATATATATATATATATATATATATATATATATATATATATATATATATATATATAATAGTCAATTGTTGATACTCCCCACCCGGCCCTGTCGCGTGGACGGATGGGTCCGTCTGCAAAAGTCGGGATGCAATCAGTTAATTGACAAACCTTTTTACTTGTATTAATTCTACATCTAAGTTCAAGAGATATATATGTTTGTATGTCTGTACAAAAACGAGAAAGGAAAGTCTATATTGGTGGCCTTGCTAAAAAAAGAATTCCTCTTTGAGCGACATGAAACGCGCTGTGTGTGTGTGCTTATAATAGGTGAATGGATGACTAAAAAGAGGAAAGAAAAAAGGGGAAACTTCTTTAATCTGATACCAGGGCGACCGAGCGTATTTGAACACAAACCAAATTGTCGAATTGCGTCATACGATCCCTCACACTTACGTCATAGCGTCTCTCCATTGCCCTCTGCTCTCGAACCTTCCTTCCTCCCGGCTGCACGAAAGCAAAACTCTGGCGGACTGCAAAGATCTATAAATCCATGTTTATTCTTGTCATTTGGAAAGACATATGTGTGTCGCTGATAAACGCACAGAGACAAAAGATTTGTTCTCTTCCTGGAATCAATGTAGACTTATTCAAGCCAAGTTGTTATTAAAAATGAAACTTGGCTTTGTGGAGTTAATGCTAGGTTTTTTAATCATCATTTTGACATCAAACGCCAACCAAGAGTCAATAACCAGGTTGTACAAATTAGATATGAAATTATTTTATCAATGAAATAAATTAAAAAAAAATAAAGTAATAATAATAAAATCTATCATAAAAACAGAAAACGGTATTTAATAGAAAAAAATAATATAAAATTATATATAAAAAAAATAATATAAAATTATATATAAAAAAATAATATAAAATTAGGCAAAGCCCTATAATGATGCGTATGAATACATTTACATTTTTATGTCTAATATAGCATATCAGTTTATCGTCCGCGCTTTGAATATTGTTGCCACAAGTGGTCTGGTGCTCTTTTTTTTATATACAGGTATCCATAAAGTCCGTGTGCACTTTTAAAAATTTATAACTTTATTTGTATTTGCGATAGAAATAATTTGTAAAAAGGATTAGAAAGAAGTAAATCTATATTTTTTAAAGTTTTATTCAAATTTTATTTAAGTTTGCACATGTCCTCCATCATTAGCAATACAAAGGGTAATACGATTTTGCAGTTCACGGAAAACATTTGCCAACTGATTTACAGTAATGCCTGAAATCACATTAGTTATTTTAGCTATACTTAAAACTAGGTACATTAAACTTTATAACATTTTTTACAGATTATTTCTATCGCAAATACAAATAAAGTTATAATTTTTTTTTTATAAAATTATATATATATATATATATATATATATATATATATATATATATATATATATTATGAAATGGACAAAGTCCGACAATTATTTTTTCAGACATTTTTAAAAGAACGTATGAACATAAAAAATGTCTTAAATATATATATATATATATATATATATATATATATATATATATATATATATATATATATATATATATATGACAATAGGAAAACTGTAGTAATTGCTGACGCGTTTCGTCCAATGTGGACTTTCTCAAAGCAAAAACGAAATTAATTTATTTAAACAAATAATAAAAAAAACAAAATGTCCTTAGGAACTGGAAGAATTTAGAGAATGCTATTTTCATACTGTTACTGAAAATTATGTCAATTACTGTCACGTGTGGAGATATTGTCTTTATTGCTGTATTGACGGATTCAAACATTTTCTTTTGATTTCTTGATACTGTTCTGTACGTGTGTTTGGGAGAGCAGTAATTTTGTTAAGAAAGGTGAAATAGGGAAAAACCCTGCACGAAGATTAATATTTGGGTAATATTCAATGGCTGCACTCCCTAGAATTTTTCTTCTAATTGAGTTTTTTTTCTTTTTTTATGTGTATAGCATTTTTAAAATCAAAATTGTGGTTGAATTTATTTCTATGTATGACTTAGTGCATTAGCTAGGTCTTTTCTGTACTCATAAATGCGTTTTTTTTTAAACTTTCTACTTGTTTCTCCAATATATTGGGTGGGACAGTTTTGGAAATTTATTTTATAAATGCCTGCTTCAGAAATATTATTGCTATTAGTGTTTGAGGATCTGAGTATACCCATAATGGTTTGGGAATTGTTTGTGACTATTTTAAGATTATTTAGATGGGATAGGTTATTCTGGATAGTGGACATGACAGTGTTGGTCGGTAGTATTATGCATCTGTTTTCATGCAATTTACTATTGTCATTTATATTTATAAATATTGTCTTTTCTACAGGTTACCTCTTAGAAATTTTCATATATATATATATATATATATATATATATATATATATATATATATATATATATATTTGTGTATTTAGGCAGCAATCCTTCTTTCATGCACGTTTCATTGAAAACGACAGCACCTTGTCTGTCCTTTTTAATGAAATGTGCATATATATATATATATATGTGCAGTTTTATATATATATTATTTATATATTATATATGTGCGGTACTTATTGGAAAGGTGCTCAATATCAGTGATAGAGATAACATATTTAGTTGGATTGATGTGAGTTCCTGACCCTGTGTTTCACGCTATTTGCGATCGTCAGACAAACTGATTAATTTTTAAATTTTCGATTTATATATGGTTGCGTTTATCGGTGTTCTTATGGTAAAAATTAATCAGTTTGTCTGAGAGAGAGAGGGGGGAGGGAGATAGATAGATATGAACAAACTAGTATAGATAGATAAATAGATAGATAGATAGATAGATTTATAGATAGATAGTTTATCGGTGTTCTTTGGTAAAAATTTAGTTTGTATAGAGGTTGCGTTTAACGGTGTTCTTATGGTAAAAATTAATCAGTTTGTCTGAGAGAGAGATAGATAGGGAGGGAGATAGATAGATATGAACAAACTAGTATAGATAGATAGATAAGATAGATAGATAGATATGAACAAACAGAACAGAACAAGACAGATAGATAGATAGATAGATAGAACAATAGATAGATAGATAAATAAATGGACAGATATGAACAAACTAGACAGACAGACAGATAGATAGATAGATAGATAGATAGATAGATAGATAGATAGATAGATATGATATGAACAGAACAGAACAAGACAGACAGACAGATAGCTATGACAGAACAATACATACAGCTAGCTAGCTAAATAAATGGACAGATATGAACAGAACAAGACAGACAGACAGACAGATAGATAGATAGATAGATAGATAGGTAGATAGATAGATAGATAGATAGATAGATAGATAGATAGATAGATATGAACAGAACAGAACAAGACAGACAGACAGATAGCTATGACAGAACAATACATACAGCTAGCTAGCTAAATAAATGGACAGATATGAACAGAACAAGACAGACAGACAGACAGATAGATAGATAGATAGATAGGTAGATAGATAGATAGATAGATATGAAAATAATCAGAAAGGACATTAATTTCTGAAAGACGAACATGTTTAGAAATTCCATCTTTTTATCTAAATGTGGTCACGTACGCCGGCCCTAGCATCGCTCACTCGGCTCCATTTTCCATGTTACAATTTACCAGACCCTTTCATTTGTTTGCGATATTTGTATGTCTCTTAGCAAACAGGAATTAAATCGGTTCTTGGATTATTTCGTTTCTTGTAATTTGGCCAATATTTGAACTGGACCAACACTTCGTTACAAGAGTCCAGGAATTGGCCAGTCGTTTGTCTACCACCAGTCGGGATATAGAATGAGTAGATTTGCTAATCGAAAGACAGTCGAGGTCGAATCGATATCCAAAGTTCTTAAGATATTATCAAGAATATCAACTTGAGACTTTTATTTCTTGGCTGAAATCTATTTCAGATTTTATTAGCTTTTCTCTTTGGTACTTCGATTTCACAAATTTAAGCGTAGTACTGAAATGGCAGTTAGGTCTCATGATTTCACTGATGAAATTGCAAGGTGCAAGCGTAAGTTCCATGCTAATAGTTTCTTATCGCGCACTTCTCGCTTGTGGAACTCACTTATGGCTTCCCGCTTTCCTGTCTTCAAAAATTTAAATTTAATGACGATTGACATCTTTTGTATTAATCTCAAAATCTGATTTATATATATATATATATATATATATATATATATATATATATATATGCATATTTAGGCAGCAATCCTTCCTTTATGCATGTTTCATTAAAAACGACAGACAAGGTACTACGGTTGAGCTTTTCATTTAATTTTTCTTGTGTCCTGACAAGAGCTTTCTTTTCTGGACAAAGGGTGTGTAAGAACTGTCCGAATGTTTTGTATTTCTGAGCGCTTTCGGCTATACCTTTAGCCATTATCAAGGATGATTCGATTATCAGCTTAGTAGAGTGTGTGCATCCTGTGTGTGTTCAGTGTGTGGTAGTGATGTTTTTAATTTCCGAATACGGTTAGCACATTATGGCTTTGTTTGGACACTTAAGACCACATTTGAGAAAAACTCCGTCCTTAACTTTACATATGAACTTAGCCAAAAAAACAAACTACCATTCTTAGATGTCCTCGTTGAACACAAAATAACACTTTCATTACATCATTATACAAAAACCCACCAGCAAAAACTCGTGCCACCTTAATTTCAAAAGCGAATGCCCACTTAGGTACAAAGTAGCAGTAATAAAAAACTTTCTAAATAGAGCACACCAGAACTCATCCTCTCGACTACTCTTTCTCAATGAACTTAACAACGTTAAACAAACACTAATCAACAACGGTTTCCCTAACTACCTTATAGACCAACAAATTAGACTATTCCTCCCCAAAGCAAGTAATAACGATAGCGAACACACAGCTAAAAATCATATACACATTTATTACAAAAACCAAATGCATATTAATTACAAACAAGACGAATCTTCTCTAAGGCATATTATAAAGAAATATACTACTCCTATTGATCCGAATAAAAAATCAAACTTATTATCTATTATAAAAAATTTAAGACGGCCAACCTTATTCTCAAAAATAACAACACACCAACTAATTCAAAATTACAAAGAACAAACATTATCTATGAGTTCAAATGCCCTTTAAGGAACTGCGTTCCTCACCAAACCAGACTCATAAATAATTACATCGGCTACACAACCACATGTTTATCCAGACGTCTTACGTTACACCTATCTGAT